TGAAGAGCACGCGACCTGGATGTATTAAAAGGGTGCCTTGAAACCGTGACAACATCCTATCATCTGAAGGGACTGTTGCAGGCAGGTCCCGAGGTATGACAATGCACTACCACCACCAGCCTGCACAGTGGTAACAAGGCATAATGGATCCATGTTCTCATTCTGCTGATGCCAAATTCTGACTCTACCATCTGAATGTCTCAACAGAAATCGAGACTCATCAGACCAGGCAACATTTTTTCCAGTCTTAAACTGTCCAATTTTGGTGAGCTCTTGCAAATTGTAGTCTCTTTTTCCTATTTGTAGATGAGTGGTACCCGGTGGGGTCTTCTGCTGTTGTAGCCCATCCACCTCAAGGTTGTGCATGTTGTGGCTTCACAAATGCTTTGCTGCATACCTCGGTTGTAACGAGTGGTTATTTCAGTCAAAGTTGCTCTTCTATCAGCTTGAATCAGTCGACCCATTCTCCTCTGACCTCTAGCATCAACAAGGCATTTTCACCCACAGGACTGCCGCACACTGGATGTTTTTTTCCCTTTTCACACCATTCTTTGTAAACCCTAGAAATGGTTGTGCGTAAAAACCCCAGTAACTCAGCAGATTGTGAAATACTCAGACCGGCCCGTCTGGCACCAACAACCATGTCATGCTCAAAATCGCTTAAATCACTTTTCTTTTCCATTCTGACATTCAGTTTGGAGTTCAGGAGATTGTCTTGACCAGGGACACACCCCTAAATGCATTGAAGCGATTTGTGTAAAACACAATATTGGTCCACTGCATTTTTGCTCAAAATGATCTTTGATTTTGCAAATTGCTTTCCATTTGTTTGCGAGTTGATTTTTCCTTTGCATAACAGATCAAGTTTGTTAGCAAAATGCTGTATTTGTTTGTTTAATTATGGCACATAATTTGCTCCATACCAATGCTTCTGCATGTTGCAAAATAAACCCCTTCAGGGTGATAATTTTCCTTTCTTGTTTTTGTGATAGGCCCGATTTAACATGCAGTTGTAGTATTTAACCTGGATTTCCTTTAAGGGGAAATTTGTTCTAAAACACTATTTGTGTACTGGTTGAAACTGTCTTCACATCCCGCAATCAATATTATAATATAGAATATATATAGAATTATAAATATTAAAACATGCTGTGGAAGTTTCAGGACCAAAAAATTTTATCCAATCATTGCATTTGGCCGAATGAAATGATATAATGTCCGACCTACCTGTAAACACAGGTCTTTGCATACCCCCGCGCACCCTGCTCGTGTAGACATCATCATTCGTTAGGCTAAATGCAGAGTTGTAGACAGTCACTGAGCGCCACAAAAAACAGCCTTATGCTGTGTTCACGGCAAAATAAATCTACAGCAGTCAAGTGGTACAACTAGAGGCCTGTAAGTTTTTTAAGTTTATTATTATTGTAATGTTATGTGCTCTGAGACATGAGGTAATTTAACAGTCTCTTATCTTATGAAGCTTTGCAGTTCATGTGTTTTGAAGGAGGCGTGAATTTGAAGAGCGCTCTGAAGCCTCATCATCTAACGCTTTTAAAGCTAGCTTGCTATTGCTAGCATCTCTGAAATTGTCTACCTCACCCTGCACAAATAACTCCTGGGAAAACAGATTTATAGAATTGCTGTAAATGCCTCATACTGAGATTATTATTTGTCCGCCGACAGAAATGAGCATTACTGTGGGTCCAAATGGCTGACACCAATGTCACGTTCATCATTAGTTATTGAGTCACGGTTTAAATGCCACTGATTTCCCCAGGCCTTATGTTTTCAGTTCAGCACCCTTATCATCAGGGTATACGCTATTCAATTAGCCAGCAGTCTCTCGGAGGCCGTAAACAAGAGCCACAAATGATTGCACATGACTTTCCCTCAACATAACGGCTGCCTGCCTGTGATTTACAAACGTATAGAATATGCCTGATATTTTGGTGGGGAAATAATGGATAAAATCTCTCTTTTACTTTTGTGATGGAAAGGGACTGATGGCTATAAGCCCTATATTACAATAAAAGCATTTTCTACCAGGTAAGCTGTTCGGAACTGGAAATACATTATGTGAATAAATGTGAGCTTAAACTAAAATTGTCTGTAATCAACCATCAGCATATCGTGTCAGCCTCACACCTGAAATCATTTTCAGTGTGAAGAGCAGTCCACGTGAACCAGAAGTTTTGACTGACTTTACTTTGTGTTGTGACGTATTTTCAGAGTGAAACGTAATAATGGCTGAGTCTGAAAACTTAGGCAGCTGACTTTGCAAATGACTTTGTAGGCAACGTTTGTGCACATAGGCACCTCATGAAATTAATTTCGGACAGACTTCTGAGGCAGTGCAATGTTTAATAATCTACAGCAAAATAGAGCAAGCTTTGGTGATAACTAAGCAAATATATAAACCCTACAATAGTACCCGTTTCTCGTTAGAAATGACATCAGAGGTGGAAAACATTAGTTTTAAAACCACCAACCTCAACGTTCAGATGCCAACTTTCATAGAATGGAATGAACTGGATTGTGGGATATCAAAGGCAGCGAGGATTCATCTAAGCTGCCTTCAAAAATCGATCAGATGAAGGAAGTGAAGCTAATATTGGACAAGATTTGGGATGCAGCCATTGAATGAGACAAATAGAGGATGTGGCTTGTTTTTTTTTTTCCTTTCTAGGAATTTATTGGATCTAGAAAAGGGGCATTTTATTCAGTTCGCTGTCAAATCTTGCAGCATACTAACTGTTTGATGGGTGTGTTACCCTCGAGGTCTCAAGATACTATCTCATGGCCTCAAAATAGTAACTCGTGGCCTCAGGATAGTCTCTTGAGGCCACGAGTTACTATCCTGAGGCCCACGAGTTACTATCTTGAGGCCACGAGTTACTATCTTGAGGACACGATTTACTATCTTGAGGCCACGAGTTACTATCTTGAGATCACGAGTTACTATCTTGAGGACACGATTTACTAACTTGAGGCCACGAGTTACTATCTTGAGGCCACGAGTTACTATCTTGAGGCCACGACTTACTATCTTGAGGCCACGAGTTATTATCTTGAGGCCACGGGTTAATACCTTGAGGCCACAAGTTACTATCTTGAGGCAACGAGATAGTTATAATTATTTTTTTTTGCCAAAGTGGGACTAAGGGGGGGGGGGGGGGGGGGGGGGGGCTCCGTACTTTTCGGCTGAAGAAAGAAAGAAATGAACATCTTGGATGACATCGGGGGGTGAGTAAATTATCAGCAAAAGTTTTTTGAAAAGTGAACTACTCCTTTATGAACCATGTGCATTTTTTGTAAAGTACTAAATCAGCTATTCTATTTAACATTGTGTTTTGACAAGGCATATCAGTCAAGGAGATTCATCTGAAAGGTATAGATTTGTTCTGGTAGAAGAAGATAAAGTATCTTCTTATTAAACGGTCTGTACACTTACAAAGTTCTCAATGCTTCGTTTTGCATGTATGGAGCCTCATTATGTTACTGCGTTAGTGTGGGGCTATTTTGAGCCTTGTTAGTGGTATAAACTAGCGATTTCTTTTTACTTAGTCAATGCCCCCATTACTAGCATATACGCTAAACAGTTTTTAGAGATAAAACTATTTACATTCGATTATCATGAAAACAAATCTCAGAGAACGGTTGACTAGGTACCGATGTTTTATTAGACCAAAGGTTAATTGTTCGCCGGAGTTCTCCTTTAAATAAATTAAATAAATGTATTAGAATACATAAATATTTAATTGCCCATATTCTAATTGAAATGTCATAATAGCAATTAATCCAAATTGAATGATTTTTAACTCAATTTGCCAATAGGTTTTAATTCATAGTGAATATGTCGGATGGAATTTATGACCAATTTATGAAAAAAGTGTGGGGGGAGGGGCCTAAGTCATCTTACATTATTTTTGGCAGTACCATATCAAATAAATAGATAATTTAAAAAGTCGACAAAGCAGAAACAAGAACCATAACAGCTAGGTAGCATTTGTATTCATAAATCAGAAAACAAACTGTTATTATAAACCATATTTAAATAATTAATGTTGCAGTGATGACAATGAACAGCAACAACATCTTATGCAATGTTGTGATGCAATTTCTGGACAACTTTTTGAAGCTTACGTTAATTGGAGCAGTAGTTAGTTTTTCTTAGAAGTAAATGGCATGCAGAGCCCCCGCACTTGAGTTCATGCATTATCTCTGAACTCAAAGACAGCTCTTTTGTTCTTTGTGATGTTTGTTTGTGTATCTTTGTTTATAAGGGCAGTGAAAATGAATTTGTTTTTCTTAAATGAAATTGTGCTTCTTGCATCTACGCTTCTTTCTTTCTTCTTAGGTTGAGACACAAATAATCACATGCTGTCAAAATTGTATTTCACCATTTGTTTCTGGCAACCAGATAGACACGTATAGCCTTCATCCGTGCTCACGCACAAGATAAAAGAGCGACCGTTTAATCGAGTAAGAAGAAATGATAAAGGGACAGCAAGTATGAAATACAAACATTTCAATCAAACTGTCTTTTTGTTCTAGATCTGCGAAAGGGAAAAGAGAAACGAGACTACGGATGGATGGACAGACAGATATATGGATGCAAGTGAGACAGTGCAAAGACAGGTGCTGTAACTCATTTATCCTTTATTGTTTTCATATAAGGTTTGAGGTACTGAAGCAATTACCTTGGAATTGGCAACCATCAACCTCTATGATGGTTTCTACTAATGAGCAAATAGCAAAGGTGACATGACACCATAGTGTTTGTGCACATGGCAAGAAAGAATTTGTCTATTAAAATTACTGTTAAACACTACGGGGGACTTCACGGTTTTATATGGAGGGCCACGGGTTTCTGCATGTACATGTCTGGTTATTTTTTTCTCTGCATGTGCTTGAAACCCTTTGAGGTTCACAGATCTGTCTTTGACACAGATTTAGGAGAAATCATCACATTTTTAGGGCAAATAAGGACAAGACGTTCATCTTCTGCAGCCCGTTACATTTAATTAGCAAACTGAATTGCAAATAAAACAACTAAAAACATCTACATTCGGTCACAGATATTTAGCAAATCAGGAAAATGTCCAGACTGCATGATTTTTATAGAACTATTTTTATAGAATAAAACAATACACATTAAGTAACATGTGTCTGTATTAACATTCACATAGCTCTCTCTCACATGTTACAAACAACCAAGAGACATTCATTATTCTATTCCCTGTGGCAAAATGAAAGTGTTTCCACTCTTAACGTTATTGCCCCAGAATGTTATTAATTAATAATCCTGAAACAAAAAAAAAATGTCTTAGATTGGATATTTATGACAGATATTTGCATACTGCATGATTCTAACCTCAAATATGACTGGACAAGGGCTTATTAAACCAGATTAAATACCTTTTATTTATTTATATGCAGATTTTAGAAGCTTATCAACAAATTCATGGTGTAACACATCTGCAGGGGCCTTAGTGTCCCAGAGCAATTTGTTTAAAAGCTTCACCTACAGTTTCAACACACAAACTCTTTTTTTATTATTATTATTTTTGAGACTGAATTTTGTGCCAGTCAGTATTCTTCAATTGAATATTGAAGGTAGTTAAATTGAGAAATGCAATCAAGCTCTCTCTCGTCACCTAGAACTGACCCTCTTTTCTTTATTTTCAGCCAAAGCACATTCTGTGAGAATGATTTTGTCTCAGTTAATGACTTTTGGCTGAAACTCTGTACATGTTGAAGAATGACTGGGTCAGTTGAGGTTTCATTAAAACCGATGTATAGTGATCTGAGAAGCTCATATTTAGTTTGAGAACAGTACAGACACATTCACACCTTTGAACCATCCATCATCCACCATCAAATAACATCGTGGGACAGGGAACATGGTAAATATCTGATATGGCAATTGCATTATTACAAACCACAGAACAGATGAAAAGCTCTGAAATTATAATATGAGATAAAAACTCACATAATAAATCACAGTGAACACCTCTAAATCCTTTATATGTTTATGGGAATGTGGTATCATGATGGCTGTCAAAAATCTCTAAAAAGTGCTAATATATCTCTCAATTCTGAATTAAAAGCATGGATCAGATTTCTAAAACCAGTTTTAAATGATAAAGTAACACTTCTTACATTTGACAAAATGAAAACTGCTAGTTGTATCACTACAATCCATAAAAAACGAAAAATATATATTTTTTTCCCTGTACTTTCTTTGTTCATCATTTTCCAATGGGATCCAGAAAGCATTTAGAAGAACCATCCGCAGCCACAATGGGCTCATAATGACTGCCATTCTACCGTGACCCATTCAGCTTTTCTATGAAGGATAGAAAAATAAAAGGAAGCGAGAAAGAAAGGGGCTCTCGGTTTTATGATGCATCACTGATACATCAAAAAGCCAACTGAGATGCTAGCATAATATAGCAAACGAACAGCACAAGAAGACAAAATCGTCTCCATACATGAGAAGGATGACATATTTGAGAAAACCGTATTGTAACGCATGAAACTGACACATGCACAGTTAGAACAGTTTCACAACATTTTCTCTGCTAATAATTTACAGTGTTTTGGCAGTAAACTTCAAAATGGCGGCTGGGGAGACAGAGAGAGAGAGAGAGAGAGAGAGAGAGAATGCGAGAACACACCAAGGCTGTGTGCATTTAAAGTTCCTCACATGCTCGTGTTTTCATGTTTGTCTTATGTTTACAAGTGACTGTCCTGACAGGTCCACAAACTTCTGCTTTCCTTCATGAGTCCAGAACAAACAGATGGTGTTTCCGAGAAACTTTGGGGTCCACACTTTCCTCGAGAAACTTCTTGGATTCTAGGTCTCATGTTTGTGCCAAATGATGACATGTTGAGAAAAACATGTTTCCTTCTTTTTTTCACCTCATTTGAGTGGAGTGGCCCGGCTCCCCCTGGTGGTGTGAAGGGGAACAGTGCTCAGCAGGCGATCTCTTCTAGGGTGCCCAGGGTGGTCTGCAGGGGAACACTGACTGTGTGGCTAATCGATTCGGAATGGTTTACCACCGGATCACATGTACTCTGAGGGAAAGAAAAACAAAAACAGATGTCATCGTTCATGGAACTGTATATGCCTAAGGCACAAGTCCACGCGATGGGATCCTGATATCTAAATAAATTATTTGAAGCTTAGCAGGTGGTTGTTTTGTTTTTTTTACCACATTCTCCCCATGACTTTCTTCCTCCTCCTCACGGTTTAGCATGTCCAGCAGTCTCTCCTTCACCACCTGCCAGCACACATCACAAACCACATCTCAATTCACTGCCAAATCAGGTCTCAAACCGCTGGCCTGAGAACAGCTTTATAGCTCTGCCAGCGCTGCATTAATCAAATCAGCAACATGGGTTGAAGCCCAGGGCACTGACCACCGGGGGATCCCAGGAATTTAAAATGGCCATTTTGAAAGGGACAATCATGCATTTTGGTCTAGTTTTCAGCTCCAAACTGTCTCCACAGATCCCCATGCTGTAAGCAGCTGGTTTATCATTCTTCAGTCTGGTGTGCTTTTGTTGGTAGCATCTTTATGGTCGTGTGAACATTTGTGGGCAATTCGAATCCTACTATAGTAAAGGCTGAGCTCATGAATATTAATTAGGTCACATTACTGGGTTACACTAGAAAATGTAAGGCTGGCCTAATAAATATTCATTAATAATTCTTCGTAATATCACACACCAGGAGGGGTGCTTTTGTCCTGAACCTGAGGAGGTTTAACATGCCCTGTGGACATTATTGAGTCCGTCTTTGTTAAAGTTTACTGGTTAATATGTCAGTTCTTAAGAGTACCACAGTTTTTAAAGTTAACATCTCAGTGGGCATTTCCAATAAAGTCTCTTGCATTTCCAATAAAGCTAATCGCTTTAGTGTTTCTTTTTTATGTGCTTTGTTAACAGTGGCCAAAAGGCTTGAAATCCAGAAAGGCCTAAGTTTTAAGATGAAATCTGTCCATTTAAAGCTACCCTGCATAAGAAATCCATTAAATCCGGACAGGGTAGAATACAAAATGAGTGTATGTGTGTATGTGTGTGCTCCCAAGGGTATGAGTGGTGTTAGGGCTTGTACTGGCTGCTGTCCATAGAGCAAAAAGACCAGCAGCAAAGCAGAATTAATGAAGGCTCATTATGATGAAACTCTCCATCAGTGTCATTCATTCATTCTACACCAGAGACAGACAGACTCAAGTTTTCAAAAGCCATCACAGTGGCTGGGGTATGTATGTGTGTGTGTGATTCTCTGCATAAATTTGCAATTTTTAATGTCTCAGCGTGTTAAAATGATTATTGCAGTGTGTATAGCGTCTCCTGTGCCCCTGAGTTCGGACACCGAACGGGGTGTTTTTTTTCTTTCAGACAGGGTCACTTGACGAGCACCAAATACGTGTAAAAATTGGCTTAAGTAAATATATACAGTATTTGCATAATATCTATATCTAAATCTCTATATATGAAGAGTTCAGATGCAAAAGCCTCTAAGTGCCATTTGAAATTTTCTTCTAGAATGATCATTTTTTATCAAGCTTGTATATTTAAGTTCAGTGATTTCACTTAAATGGCAATGATGATTACCTATTAATTGTTATTTAAGTGAAAATATTCCACAGTTTTTAGATAAACCTAAAAAACATATTATTCTACTACTTATACAAAAAAGAAATACTCCTCAATTGGAAAAGTTCACAAGCGCCTTGTTTCCGAAGATGGTTAAGTGAGATGCTTTTTAATATCCAAATGGAACAGTTACATTTTGGGGAGTTCTGCTCAAAAAAAAAAAAAAAAAAAAAAAATTGAAGCCACATGGCAACCTCTCTTGGGACTTTTGGTAGCTAAACTTTTATTTTCTTCTCCTGTGGTGAATTTGCTGTATTATAAAACAATTGTGAATAATTTTGTAATTTATGTGTATCTATTAATATATGTGTATATTCAATAATTCAATAATTATATAGTATATATATTTGTGGAGTGAGGCAATCTAGATGTTTGTTTTTTTATAAACAACAACATATATATATATATATATATATATATATATATATATATATATATATATATATGTATGATATATATATTTAAACTTTAAGCAAAATTAAAATGTTTCGGGGAAATAATCACAAAAGGCTTTCACATTTTTGTGACAACTGTGATTTAACCGAGAGATGCATACAGTACTTTTCAAAATTTTGGGGTAGGTAAGATTTTTTTAATGATTTTGAAAGATCTCATGTTCACCCAGTACAAACACTAACTCTTTTCTATTTTAATATACACATATATTAAACTATAATTTCTTTATGTGATGTCAAAACTGAATTTTGAGGATCATTACTTCAGGTCTCATGATCCTTCAGAAATCATTCTAATATGATGATTTAGTGCTCAAAGTGCACATCTCTTATTATTATCAATGTTGAAAACAGTTTAAGGAAACAGGATAATTTTTTTCATAACTGTTAATAAAAAAAAGTTAAAATGAACAGTTCCCAGGACGAAAGGGAACTATTAATGAAATTTATATACAATCTTACTGACCCCAAACATTTGAATAATTGTGTAAATATGTGTTTGTGACAAATACACAAGAAAAAGCAAGTAAAATACACAATCGTCATAATGACAATAATATTACTTTTTATTATTAAAGAGAATGATGTTAAATCATGGCATGTTAGACCCAGTGTTTAGATGCTGACATACCTCATATACATAATCAAATAGCTCCAGAATGGTCAGGATACTTGCACCAATAAACAAGCCCATCTGACCACCAATATCACCTGCAACATAAATATATTTATGATTTAGAGGAATGAAGAAAGAGAAAAGATGAAAGAGACAGTATTCATGTGACTGTGTTACCTAGAAGACCTGCCACCTCATATGCTTTCTTCTGCTCTATGGTCTCATAATTCAGAGCTTCAAAGAACACATCCAGAACTAGGATATTGTCCCTGCAACAACAGAACAAAAAGAGTGATGTCTGGTGTTTTAGTTGGTACTGAGTGGTACTTAAATGAAAAGAGTGGTTTTATCCTCAGTAGCGCTTTTTGCTATTCCACACACACACACACACACACACACACACACACACACGCAAATTGGCTTGTTATTGGATGTTCAACAACACTAACATTATCTCAACCATTTATTACACTCCTATTATGTTGTAGAGATGAATGATCTTGGCATGACCAATAATTTGTGTGAATGTGTGGAGGAGTTAAACATAAACAAGTTTTTTTTTTTTTCTATCACCATAAAATGAAGCAGTCTAGCTTATCTCTCTAGTCTGGTGGGACACCAGAGTGATGATATTCTGTCTACTTTATGGTAATATAATTGACTCTATGCACAGCAATGTGTGGTGTGTGTGTGAGAGAGAGAGTCAGAGTCAGTATTTCCAATAGCTCCACGTACGTCCCAGACACATCAATCACAAGCTTATCGCTATGACGATGAACTAATGAATGGAGAGGATGTGATATCTGTCACTATATTGAAGAACAGCTCACAGAATCTTCCTGACACAAAGCAAAAGTGTTCTCAACTTGTCAGCCAAATGTCTGGAGGAGATATAAATATGTCTGAGGGCCACATCAAATGTCCTGGTGTCCTAATGTTGCTTTTTTGTAGAGAAGCACGTCTATGAGGCAACATTTCAAACGCACATTACGAACGAACACACATAGGGAGTTTCGTTGACACTCCCAGAATCCAGTGTCCATTTTATCCAGTACAGTGTCCCAACCACGCCAATGTGCCATTCATAACTAAATGGCTACATCAATTACATTTTAATTAACCTCCTCAATTTATATTTGAACAATTTAAAAATTGCAAGTACAATTAAAATAGAATACAATTCTAAAGCAACTCAACTGTTTTCCAAATCATCATATTATTATGATTTCTGAAGGATCATGTGACACTAAAGACTGGAGTAATGATGCTGAAAATTCAGTTCTGTCATCACAGGAATAAATTACATTTTACAAATATATGAAGAGTTCAGATGCAAAAGCCTCTAAATGCCATTTGAAATTTTCTTCTAAAATGATCATTTTTATCAAGCTTGTATATTTAAGTTCAGTAATTTCACTTAAATGGCAATGAAGATTACCTATTAATTGTCATTTAAGTGAAATTACTGAACTTAAATATACAAGCTTGATAAAAATGATCATTTCAGAAGAAAATTTCAAATGGCACTTAGAGGCTTTTGCATCTGAACTCTTCATATTCAGATAGAAAACAGTTATTTTAAATTGTAATAATATTTTAAAAAATATATATTATTGTATTTTTTCATCAAATAAATTAAGCATTGGTGCGCACAATAGACATCTTTCAAAAACATACTCAAAACTAATCAAAACTTTTGTACAGCTGTAAACCAATTAATGTTTTTACTGATTTGTTGTGTGACTTTGGATTGCATGACTTTGGATTGTGTGTTTTTTGGATTTGAGTAACTCCTATCTCCTATCATTTCACCATCCTGTGGTTTACGGCCAATTCAATAAAAGCTGGTGAATAAAATAATTCTTAATTTCCAAATTTTCCTCAGTTGTAATAACACCACAGCTATTCCTTGGCAGAAAAGCGCAGGCTTGTGATCATTAACAAGCTCTGCATCTCTGTGATCATGGATATGAGGTGGTAGTACATTAACTGGTAATTTAGAAAATTGGAGGCAGTAATGAGGTTTGGAAAAGTTTGTTAAGTGGTAAAGTTGCAAAAAAAAAAAAAAAAAAAAAAAAAAACACTTCAGAGACCTTTGGATGCTGAATTCAAAGCCATTTTGATGAAAAAGAAAGTGGCTTTTTAAAGGGTTGTGAGGTGCATACTCACGTGATGTATTTCTCAGATCGGTTGAACTTCTTCTCCAGGTAGCGGGCAGAGGTTTTACTGGGGATCTTGACCATGGAAAGCTCTTTGTTGTATCGAGTCATGTTACAGGGGCTCCTACAGATGCAGTTTGTGCCTTCAACTGCTGAAAGAGCAGCTACGGAGTGCAAAAAAAAAAAAGGGGGTAGAAGAGAGGAAAAAGAAAAAGAAAATGAGGAGAGACAGGAAACGGTACAGGGAAGAAATGTAGAAGATATGTCTGTTGTTTCTGCAGGTGGCTTTCCTGAACTAGGTTCTATATATGACTTCCCCAGTTGAACAACTGATAGTGTTAAAGGGATAGTTCACTTTGAAATTAATTTTTGATGTTTTATCTTACCTCAAGGGCATCCAAGATGTAGGTGTCTTTGTTTCCACAGTATTTTCGATTTTGACATTTTTCAGTCAAACCGTTGTTGTCTCTCAGTCATACACTGGAGACTAAGGGGGTCCACCAAAGAGCATGCACAGAGAAGTCAAAATTAAACATGATTTAATGACTCGTAAATGTAAGTACACATTGATGGCCTAAGACACAAAACGAGCGGTTTTTGTGAGAAAACAAACAGTATTTATATAGTTTTTACCTCTTGTAATCACAGTGACGTCCAAGTGATCTGAATCAGTTGTGCAATGTCCAACTAAACCGAACTGAATCAGTTCAATTTTACGCCGGAAGTGATCGCTTGCGTGTGACGTCACTCAATATTTACACGGAGATTTCGGAAGTTTTACCTTTTACTAAAAATATTTAGATATACGGAAATCGTCTTCCATTGCGGTTTCCTGTATATCTAAATATGTTTAGTGAAAGGTAAAACTTCCGAAATCTCTGTATAAACAAAGAGTGACGTCACATGCAAGCGATCACTTCCGGCGCATGCACGGACCGAAGCGCCCGTGCCGTCAGATCATTTTGTCATGGCTATGATTATAAGAGGTAAAAACGATATAAATACTGTTCGTTTTCTCACACAAACCGCTCGTTTCGTGTCTTAGGCCATCAATGTGTACTTACATTTACGAGTCATTAAATCATGTTTAATTTTGACTTCTCTGTGCATGCTTTTTGGTGGACCCCCTTAGCCTCCAGTGTATGACTGATAGACAAGAACGGTTTGACTGAAAAATGTCAAAATTGAAAATGCTGTGGAAACAGACAACTACATCTTGGATGCCCTTGAGGTAAGCTAAAACATATCAAAAATTCATTTCAAAGTGAACTATCCCTTTAAGAATATGAAGTCGTCTTATCCTTTTCTGCACATACTGTATGGGTCTTTTCAGTATCTTCACATGCACACACATTTAAACACCTACACAGGTTGGAGTTTAATTCAACTTTTGGCCTTGTCAGAACACTTTTAAATCGTTGATGTCAGCTCTTGACGCTTAGAAAAATGTTACTTCTCGCACTTTTGTTTACCTTCAGAGAGATATTGGCTTCTGCAAAAAAAAAAGCCTGGAAGGAGGGGGAAGGGGTGTTAATATGTTTAATACTGTTTCCCATATCCTCTTTTTAGATACAAAAGAGATATATTTCTATTCTCTTGCTGGTTGCCAGGGCTGAAATCTTTTGCTCTTGGCTGTGCCTTCCTCAGATTTCTAATCAGCTCATAACTTGCATGACCTAGAGATGGAATCCGACCTTTCACAGAAACTTTTTAAAATGCATCCATCCCTGACCTTTTCTATCTCCATCTCGCTTTCTTCTCTTCACTTCAATCCCCTCTCAAACCCTACCACTGGAGACGAAGCTAAGTCATATCATTTAATTGGAGAATTAAGTCAGATTTAACCTTCTCTAAACACTCACAGACAAATTAACAGGATTCAGTCACACAAACACCAACACACACATTGCGTTTTCATGTTTTATGGGGACTTTCCATAGACAATGACTTTTATGCTGTACAAAGTGTATCCAAGGATTTCGGACATTATCATCTTTGTGGGGACGTTTTGTCCTCATAACGTAGGGTTTACCAGGACCATAATATATGCACATATTTAGGTAAGTTTTAATGAGCTACTGTTGTAACCTTTCGGGAAGTGTGTTTGTTTGAGTTATCTGCAATATGTTTTAGTGTGGCGTGCCTTTGGGGCTTTAGCCATGTTGGCTTAGGCCTATCAGCTGTTGATTGACTCGCTAAAGGATCCATCTTATGAATTCTGTTATATGATTACGTGTGTGTGTGCCGATACTAAATCAGGGAGTTCTCTTTGCTCATGTTAAAACAAGGTTGAGCAGCCACCTTAACAACTTGCTGTCAGCAACCTTTAATTGTGGGTTATTAGCATTGTGTTATAATATGATCACTATTTGTAGTGGAGTGTGATTTTTCAATATTTTTATTTATTTATTTATTTATTTATTTTTGCCGTATGCAGCTATAGCTAGCCTGCTTTCCCGTGGGGGATTGGCCCCTGCAGTGATCTACGTTCCTTACCTTTTTTTTTTCTCAAGACAAGAGTATTTGTTTGATGTTTTTCTTTAATAAAAAATTGCTTGTTTAAACATTAACTCCTGCCTCTCATGAGCAAACAGACTTGTGTCCCATTTATTGGATTTTTTCCCCGGTAATCTTTAATGTATTGGATTATTTCCCCGGGGTGGTGTAGTCATAGCCTACACATGGAGGACAGTCAAATGACCAAAACAGTACAACCAAAGCATATACACAATGCATTTCCCTCAACCTGCTTTATTTTACTTTCAGCCTTTTGTGTATAGTATAGTATAGTATAGCACTTAAACATTTCATCTCCCTTTTCCTTTCATACTTTTATCTCATTTCCCTTAAACATGTGCTTTCAATACATTCGTGTTATCTCTCGACAACGCTCTCTCATCACGCACAGACTGCAGCACAATACTGCCTATCTGTGTCCTATTCTCTCATCCCCACTCTCACCTCTTACTCTTTCTATGGGTCTATGGAATTGCCAATCAGCAGTCAATAAAGCTGACTTCATCCGGTAACACTTTATTTTGATAGTCCACTTTAGACATTCAACTAACTATAAGTAACTTTGCCACTACATGTCAACTAACTATCATTAGAGTATTAGTAGACAGTCAGCTTAATGTCTACTAACACATTATTTTGTTGGTCCCCCAACAGATATTCAACTGACTGTAAGTAACTTAGCAACTACAAGTCAACTTGTTCTCCTAACCTGAACCCTAACACCTAACCTAACAGTCTACTGACAGTCTACTACAGCCTACTAATACTTTAATGACACTTGGTTGACATGTAGTTGAAAAGTTACTTATAGTTAGTAGACTGTCTAAAGTGACTATCAAAATAAAGTGTAACCCTTCATCCTAGCCTTTGCATCGCGTTCTACTCTTAATATCTTAGGCTTTACTGAGACCTGGATCCGTCCAGAAGATTCAGCAACCCCTGTTGCTCTTTCTAACAACTTCTCTTTCTCTCACACCACTCGCCAGTCGGGGAGGTGTGGGGGTAATGGTATTCTCATTACTAACAATTGGAAAAACTCAACTCTCTCTTCTCTATGCAATAACAACACATTTGAATATCATGCTATTACACTTACAACTCCCATTAAGATCCACTTGTAGTCATTTATCGCCCCCAGGTCAACTGGGAAGCTTTGTAGAGGAGCAAGATGTGATGCTGTCCTCTTTCCCTGAGGATGGCACTCAACTGGTAGTCTTTGGTGATTTCAACATTCATCTAGTAAGGTCATATGCTACTGACTTCATCTCTCTCCTAGCCTCATTCGATCTCAAACGGCTCATCACCACAGGTACTGACAAGTCAGGCAACCAACTGGACCTGATTTACACACGCAACTGCAGAAAACTCACAGAAAACATTTTGGTGAAACCTCTCCACGTTTCAGATCATTTCCTCATTACTTTCAATCTACAACTCACTATTCACACTCCACCAACTCCCCTACCAGTTACTTTTAGACCAAACCTGAAAACCTGAAATCTTACCTCTGCTGTGTCATCTTCTCTTCCCTCAACCTCAAAATGACCATCTCTGGATGTGAATACCGCAACGGATACTTTATGCTCCACTTTAACTTCTTTAGACATTATCTGCCCTCTCTCCTCCAGGCCATCACGCACCACTCCCTCTAACTAACCCCTGGTTATCTGAGGTTCTTCGTGAACACCGGACCAAACTCAGAGCAGCGGAGAGGAAATGGCGCAAATCAAAAGACCCATCTGACCTGAGTGTGTATCAATCTCTGCTCTCTGCCTTTTCGGTTGATGTTCACACTGAAAAATCTTCATACTTCCACAACAAGATCAACACCGCCCCTAACACACGAACACTTTAAGACATTCAACTCTCTCCTCTGTCCACCACCACCCACCTCCTTGCTAACTGAGGATGATTTTGCTAACTTCTTCACTAACAAAACAACAACTATCAGCAGTCAGTTCTCTAATCCACACACACAGGAACCTAGACCAACCACTCCCAGAGCCAATAACCCTCTCTCCTCCATCTCTCCACTAACCGAGGAAGAAGTATCTAAACTTCTCCTCTCCAGTCATCCTACCACCTGCCTTCTAGACCCCATCCCCTCACACCTTCTACAAGCCATCTCTCTCACACTTCTACCAGCTCTCACACACATTATCAACTCTTCCCTACACACTGGCATTTTTCCTACAGCATATAAGCAGGCTCAGGTAACTCCACTGCTTAAAAAAACAACATTAAACACATCACTTTTAGAGAATTACAGACCTGTCTCCCTCCTACCATTCATTGGGAAAACACTTGAACAAGTTGCTTTCAACTAAGTATCATCTTTCCAGTGTCTCTGAACAACCAGCTGGATGTCAACCAATATGGCTTCAAGAAAGGGCATTCAGCCAATACCGCATTACTATCAGTCACAGAAGCCCTGCGGATTGCAAAAGCTGCTTCCGAATCATCAGTTCTCATTCTCCTAGACCTGTCAGTTCCCTTCAAAACTGTGGACCATCAGATCCTTCTGTCCACCCTCTCATCACTGGGCATCACTGGAACTTCCCTCCACTGGTTTGAGTCCTATCTCACAGGTAGGTCCTTCAGGGTCCTTCATGGAGAAGTGAGGTATCCAAAGCACATAAACTGACCAGTGCTTGGACCCCTCCTCTTCTCCATTTACACCACATCACTGGGACCCATCATACAGGCACATGGTTTCTCTTGCTATGCTGATGACACCCAGCTCTACCTCTCATTTCAACCAGATGACCCCACAGTACCTGCACAAATCTCAAGCTGTCTGGCGGACATCTCGGCATGGATGAAGGAACATCACCTGCAGCTCAACCTGGCTAAGACTGAGCTTCTCGTCCTCACTTCCAATCCGTCTCTACAGCACGACTTCACTATCCAGCTAGATTATTCCTCAACCACCCCATCAAGGTTGGTCAGAAATCTAGGATTACTCTTTGACCTTTGATTATTTGAATCTTTAACCTTCGCAGACCACATTACAAAGACAGTTTGATCATGCAGGTTTGCAATGCACAACATCAGAAAGATCAGGCATTTCTTAACTGAGCAAGAAACACAACTTCTTGTCCAGGCCCTGGTTATCTCTAGGCTTGATTACTGCAATGCTCTACTGGCTGGACTTCCATCATGTGCAACTAAACCTCTACAAATGATCCAGAATGCTGCAGCTCGTCTTGTCTTCAACAAACCCAAAAGGGCCCACGTCACTCCTCTGTTCATCTCCCTGCACTGGCTACTCGCTGCTCGCATCAAGTTCAACACTTGCTTACAGATTGACCACTGGCTCAGCTCCCTCCTACTTTCACTCGCTCCTACAAGTCTACATCCCTACCAGAACTCATGATCGATCAATGAGCGACGGCTTGTGGTACCATCACAACGAGGCACAAAATCACTCTCCAGAACATTCTCATTCACGGCTACATGCTGGTGGTGGAATGATCTGCCCATCATCATCCAGAATGCAGAATCCCTGACTGGATTCAAAAGAGATATGAAAACTCATCTCTTCAGTGAGCATGTGAAGTCATTATTATTAGTAGTCTGTCGGCTTGATATCTGCTAACATTTTACTTTTATGATCATTCAACAGACATTTTGCTGTCTATAACTTTACCAAGAACATGCACAACTTATTCTACTAACCCAAACCTAACAGAGTCTACCAGTACTCTAATGAGAGTAAGCTAACTGAGAGAATGTCTAAAGTGGACTATCAAAATAAAGTGTAACCACATTTTTTTATATACACTACATAGTGTGCAGGAAGCAGTATATTATTATTCAATTCTGAACATGTCTTGATTATCATCCTGCGTAATATTCTTCTGTCCCAGAGTGTTCTGTTTCATTGTCATCTCAATTATCTCAAACATTTGAGAGGATCCTTTCCGTTCTAATAGCATCTCATTCTTGTCTAAATGTTTTCATCTGCATATTGACTGGTGAAACTGAAAGTACACAACTCTTCCCTCCTCGGGGTGCTGTGAACAGAAAGTTGGAGTTGGTAATAATTTCCTCCTCACTTTGCCAAAAGATAGGAACCAGCTGTCAAGCATTTTGAAGCCAGCAGCTGAAGTTTTAGACAAGCTGTGCATGCAGCCTCTTGTGCTGTGCCTTTACTTGTCAATTGAGGTTAGAGCTATCCCACTAATACTTTTCCAATGGCTTGGAATTTTATCTCTCTTGAAAATATGAAAATTAGCTTTATCTCGATTGCACACAGGACTCTAAAAGGTAAAAGTGTGTGAAATTAGATATGTTATCAACCCAAGGAAGTATTGGAAACAGTTTTGTGTGCTGAATACCTGAAACGTTCGAAAATGTAGGAGTCCTAGCTGTGTTCTTATTTGAATTTCTTCATTAGTGGAAGATAATTAGTGAACATGGAGCCAACTTGCTTATTATGTTTGGTATATACTGTCAGATGGTTCGTAGAGAGGGAGTTAATGAGGGCCAGAATACATTCTGTCAGTAGAGACGGTGCACAAAAAAAGTCTTTGTTTTCCCTGAATACATTTCCAAAATAATGACTTAATTCGAGCAAGTTCATGAGGGATTTTAAAGTTCAATAAAGAAGTCCCTGTGTCAAGAAGAATCAAGATCTGTGAAGAAAAAATCCAATTATTTCGAGAGAGAACTGAGGAATACTTTCAAAGTTTCTCAACGCAGAGTTAATATAGTCTAATTTGGTGAAGCTGGTGAAGATTACAGATAATACATTCTGATGTCTAAAGTTTACTGCCAGTGCCACCTACTACAAAATCACACATATTAACAAACAGATGTGTTCTATTATGTTTATTTTAGTTTTTGTTCTATCGTTTGCTCTTTTATCCTCTTTAAGGATGCTACTTAAAAACAAAACACTGCTACAGAGGAGGAAGATACAGGGCAGAGAATGAAAGAGGGACGATGGCTGCTTTTTTCCATGTAATTGAATTTTGTGGAGGGTCAGTGGCATTATAGTCATGAAGGCCTGTTGAACAGAAACGTGTGCGTATATCTATTTTGTGCCCCAGTAGTGTGTTAGATTATTAAAATGAGCCTAGTAATACATCAGGAATACAAACACACTTTATTTGTTCAGCCAATCTCACTGATGAGAAAACATGGCAAATACACCCGGATTTAAACCATGCAAGCGAGCGACACAACAAAACCTGCCTGTCTAGACATCTTTGTTGTTTATAACAGAATTGTTCTTGTTTTGTTGCATCGTGCCATGACATTTATGGGTTTTTTGTCTAGATAAAATGTTCACTATAGCTGCATCAGAATATACTTTCCTACTAGCAACACAACGGATGGCTATATAGAATGCTAATTCTATATAGAACATCTTTTTTTAACAGTCCCAAAGTATGTTCTAAAAGTTGTGCAGCCTATAACAGGATCCAACACTGAAAACGTCACGGTTATGGATGTAACCCTCGTTCCCTGAGTAGGGAACGGAGAAGTTCCATCGGATGACGAGTGAGTGACAACTCAGAGTGACAACGAAAGGGAACTACATTGGTTCTCAATCCTGGTTCTGAAGTACCCCAGCATAGCACATTTTGTATGTTTATTAGACAGGGCCTCTAACAGGGAAGTCAAATCAATCCAAATTATTTCAAAATAGCTTCTAAATATTAAACAGGTGGTGATGTTGCAAAATTAATCAATTATGAAAGTCCATTTAAGCTGAAAAGCAGCTCCACACAAGACAATTGTCATTATTCACCTATATATTACTGAATTTCAATAGCTATTTTTATATTCATTTTAATATAATTCAAGAGTAATATTAATGGACTGGCAAACAAAGGGCCCTATTATAACGATCTAAGCGCATGGTCTAAAGCGCAGAGCGCAAGGGCACTTAGGGCATGTCCGAATCCAGCGCATGGTCTAAAATGGTTGTCCTTATTCTCTTAATAAGTAATGGGTGTGTTTTGGGCGTAACGTGCAAAAAAACAATCAGAGTCTCATCTCCCATTCCCTTTAAAAGCCAGTTGCGCTCGCGCAATGACGGATTGCTTTTTACATGGCGGAATTTGCAAACGGAAAGACCTAACGCTTCTCCAGAGAGAAAATTTCTTGAACTGAAGGGGGATGAATGTCTTTCTGAATTGTTCTGACCCAATTTATTTTGTAATTTTTTAAATTTTTTATTTCCTGGTGGGGACTTCAACCTGAATGCACACAGACTCATGAGGACTTATGTCATCGTGGAGTTCCCCATGAGGAAACAAGCTTATAAATTATACAGAATGAGTGTGTGTGTGTGTGTGTGTAGTCACACTTACCCAGAGCAGGTTCAGCACAGTCCTTATACTGTTCAGGAGTGCAGAATGGAGAATCGCCTAGAAACAAAGAAAATTAAAACAAAAATGATTCTTTATTCAGCCTTCTAAAATGAATAATTAAACACTGATATTGTGTTCCTAATAGGAGGAAAAACAGACCCAACCTTCACCCATCCAAACTCAACACAACAAGGAAATAAACAACTGTGAGTGCATGTGTTTGTGCGCATGGAAGAGATAATTGTATGTGTCTACACTGGTCAAAATGTATCAGATGTATCCTGAATGTACATCACAGGCCAACCACAATCAGTTAATGAATCTATAATTACATTATTAGAGCAGGGCGCCTTAGTGAATAAAGGACTAATCATCTATGAGATAATTGTTCTGTCTCAAGCCCCTACTGAAGTAGCAAGAGGTTGAGGTTGGCACTTATGGGTTAGAAATAATAGAGAACTTTATGATAAAAAAGTGCACTTTTATTTGATTAAAAAAATGACAAAATTGTGAAAATGGAGACTATATAGTGTCATTAAAAGAGACAAAGTTGACAAAGAAATCTACTGCAGCACTAACTTTAAATGTCCGCTATTACGGCGCAGCATAAATTGGAATTCAGAGCGGGACATAAAGGGCACTGAGTCACAATGAGGTTCATGAAATCATATTATGAAATCTTGGAAATATATTATGTCTTTAAAAAGACCATTTAGCAACAGTTAAAGATGACTAATCAAGGGGCCAAAATTACCATTTTATCAGTGAAATTAAATTAAAACTGAATTTTTCTGAAGACTATTTTGGGAAGAGTTCTTCCACACTTTTCAAATCACACAATATGTCATGGCTCCTGGTTATAAGCCCTTGCTGTCAGTTTGTGGGCTTGTTCCAAACCACCTTTGACCCACAGAAAAATGAATTATTTTCTATATTCTGACCTCTCCTAAATAAGTTCAGCCAGCAAAGCTCAACTGCCAAATGCAAGCCACAAATGCCACAAGGCATTATGTTACCGCAAACCACAACACACAACACCTCATGCTGATATGCTATCCATGAGCATATGAAATCTGACCTCATTGGCTAACTGTTCATCAATAATTAAAGACCTTTCACAGGTAAGATGGAAACAAGAGTCCTAACAGGTTTCTTGAATGACAGTACAAACTCTATTTGTCCTTACTAAGTCTTCATCATGTTTCCTTCTGATTACATTAATAAAGGGTTGGATCTGTTCTGATTTGAATGCAATTTATTTCTATGACATATGAATGTAAAGACTTACTTTGAACACCATATTCTCTAGTTTACTTCTTGGACCAATGTATTATTTATGACAGGACATCACAGGGCAATTCTTTTGTTTATTTCATTGATGAATGTAGATTGCCATTTATTTTATTTTATTAATATAAATTATTGTTTAAATTTGTCATAACATGGACCTTTTTATTATTAATGCAATGACAATGTTTTGTGTAAAATGGCCCTATCATACACCCGGCACAATGGAGCACGAGGCGCGATAAGTGTTTTTTGTTAGTTGAAGCCGTCCGCCGCTACATTGTTTAAACATCAAATGCATTTGCGGCCATTTGGGTGGCCATTTGTGCGCCCATGTGGGTTCTGGTCTGAAAACTAGGTGTGTTCAGGCGCATTGTTGGCGCGTTGCTATTTTGAGGCAACTGAAATAGTCTGCACAATATATTTTTTGTTACTTAAAAAGTGCATTAGTACTAATTACACACACAGGAACGCGTGGCAGCACACAAACTAGCCAAATATTAAACATAAAAGGATTACAATGTAAAATATTTATATTGTGTACATAAAGATTTGGAGGAAGCTTGTCCCGTGGATGGTCTGCTCACGCGGTTAAACCTCGTGCCAAGTAGATCCGTTTCCCTCTCTGTAGAAGCTTTCAGTTTTTTCACTCGCAAATTGTGTAAATAGCAACCCGCTATGGTGTGAGCACAACTGGCTTTTAAAGGGAATGGGAGGTGAGACTGCTTTAGACCATGCGCTTAGATTGTTAAAATAGGGCCCTATGACTGAAAACTGAAATTCAGAGGATGCATTTAAACTAAATGGATGAGTATAAAAAGTATAAAGTTTGCTAAGTTGGGACGTACCAGGCATATAGACCATCCTGCAGTTGCAGTTCTCTACAATGTAGCGTGTTTCACACTCGATACGGCAGGCCGACACGCTGTACACCTGAAAGAGGCCTGAGTCCAGGGCTCTGGACACACACTCGCCCCACGGAGGAGGAAGGTACGTCAGCTGAAAGAGGAGAGAGGAGTATTATTCATTAGATAGATTGATTAGCACATGATTGGCATTTACATGTAATAGTGTAGGTGAGTTACAGAACAGAGGTTTTAGTGCATACAATTTTATTACACTTGGTCATTTGGGGGGCAACACCAGTGGTAAATGTAAATCTATTTTACGTTATTTCAATAACCTACTAGTTTCATACATCAACATCATGCCCACCAACCATTCACAGTCAATTTCCTACCCGATTGATGTCATTTTGCACAAAAAAAAAAATTAAAATAATAATAATGGGCTGATGCAATAATTGTTCTGGGAGACATAACTTGCTAATAGTTAATATTATGCCAGATTAATTGGATTAGTGCCGTCAGAGTTTTGTTTCAGCAGTAAAACAGATTTTATGTACAGTCCAGTTTGACCTTTTCTGCTTTCTGTACAATCTTTCACAGAAACTGCTGCATAATGCATCTTCATGAATTCGCTCTATTGTTGTGGTGCATCTCAAAACTGCAAGTAAAAAGCAAAATTAATTAATAAGTCAAAATCAAGTCAAAGTTTATTTACAAAACAATGACTGTTGCCTTGCTTTTGGCTTTCTTAGTTGGGGACATTATAATATTCAACACAATTATTGATCTGTGTTGTATTACTTTTATGTTATCACTGTTAAGCTGCTTTGATACAATATGTATTGTAAAAAGCGCTATATAAATAAATAAATAAATGTGTCTTGACTGAAGTTGACCCAAAATGCTGTACAGTTCATAAAAAAAATATGAAAAATATAAAAATCTATTTAAAATATAAAAAGACATATCACTATAAACTGCAACAGTACAAAGTAAAGATAAGTTTTAAGGGAATATTTAACAATAACATCTGTGGTCTGTTGCTTTTCATTTGACATAAAAATCGATCAGGCAGTCTCTTCATGTTTAAATCAGAGGTGCTCTGCAAGTTACCCCGTATTATTGGACACTTTACATGCTGAATAAATAAATAATACATTTTATATCCTCTGGATATTTCTACCTTGGAATTTGGTTTGATGCTGTATCCATGCCTGTCAGCATGAAATCCCAAACCATTGTTGTTTCAGTACTTAGCACACATTGAAATATCACAGTCACTGGGAAAGGGCCAATTAATTCCAATTTGGCATAGTGCACAGTGTCCTTGCCCTATGTTCTGTGCAAAACAATTCCAAATATATTAATTTATCACAAGATATTACTAATTAAAACTCTTCTTTGTCTATGGAATCCACACAAACACAACAAACAGGCATCCTTCTGGCATGTGTCCACTGGCTGGAACAAGTGCTTCCTATGTTACAACTTCCAAAACACTCAGACTTCACAATCCTTCATGAGCAAACACCCTGAACTGGCGCCCATCTCAGTGAACCTGGCAGCAGACGGATGGAGAAGGCGGCAGGGAGGGAAGGGCGTGAATGTCAAGGGAGTGAGAAATATGGAGCAGGATTAAGGATTTAAGAGGGAATGACAAAAGAGATGGTAAACAACCCGAGGAAGAGACACAGCACAGGAAATGTCAGGTGGAGAAGAGGAGGATCCCATCTGCCCTAAAACAACAGGTTGCCCACATTCACACTTCTCCAAGCATACATTACCAAAGCTTCCAAGCAGGTCAGCTTCATTTAGTCTCAATGGGAGACATCATGGGTAATGCAGTCTTAAGACTGAAAGAGCCAAGTATGAATAATGAGTGGACTTGGAGAGGATAAGAAGGGACATTATCTCTTTTCCAACTGCGTCTGGAAATCACTGAGCATCAGGCACAGATTGAGGAACCGATTTCACACTGATGCTGATGGAAAAAAATATATCTGACAGGCAAATGAAATTTGTCAGTGGAGATAGATCAAAACTGTGCTGGCATGGGAAGACTTTAAAATGCCTGTCGTCTTACCACTGTTCCGGGAATCAAAAATAAACCCAGAAACCAGATCTGACACTGACAAAAGCCTCCCACAACAAACGATATCTTTAAAACAAACTCAGTAGCTGGTTATTTAGTAAACAGCCTTATAATAACTTCATTTGCATTTCTCCAGCTTGCCTTAAGACATAATGCAGCCTATAAACTCTCTTTGAACTGTATGGAAAACAGCCTTAAGCCTTGCTCAAAATCACACTGCGTCTGTGTATTACTAGCCGTGTAGATGCAATATCAGTAAATTCCAACATCAAAAAGATAACAAAAACTAGTATAAATAGTAGAATCACATTTATATATTTCAAATTTGTATGTTTAATTTAATATTTTAAATATTTTAAAGATAAATACTAAGAAAAAGCCCTCAAATTAAGATATTACATTATTGTGGCAAATGAGAGCACATATGATTTATAAATTAAGGTCAATACATAATTTGCTGTATTATTTTCAAAACTGGTTTTCAGTGTCTCACTCAATTTTGAGGTAAAATACATGTCAAGACCCCTTCATTCTGTTTTATTCTGATTACAATCATGTAATACTAAAACTAAAACTGTTACTGGCAACTAAAAAGGACAGTGGAGTTCTCTATTTCACATTTATATCACATGCTGTTAGTAACACACCTCTTTAATTTCTTCAAAATTACGGAAAATTGGAAAGAAGAAATTGTTACTGGCAACTAAAAACTGGCAACAAAACTGTTACTGGCAACTAAAAAGGACAGTGGAGTTCTCTATTTCACATGTGTATCACATGCCGTTAGTAACACACCTCTTTCTTGTACATACTCTGTAATTTCTTCAAAATTACGGAAAATTGGAAAGAAGAAATGGATTTGTATGTTCTCAAAGATCAGGCAGTTTCAGCCATCATTTTCAGCCACATTTCTTGCTCTATTTATCTTAATAACAAAAAGAGTAATTGGGCTTTGCTAAGATACATCAATATGAAGGATGGTGGTAGTCCAGGTAAATATGCAAACCATATTACATCCATGACAATACAAATAATACTGATTAAATTGTAATAACAAACCATTCCAAAAACATCTTGATTCATGGCACACTGTACGTTAACAGAGACTGAACTGATAAAACCTAAAAGCAACGTTTATGCTCTATAGCATATTTATCATGTCACTTAGAGACCACGATTTCCCAGCATTTATATAATTAAATGCTGGGAACGACAGTTTGTTTCTTCAAAACTAGTTTGAAGACCTAATTTAGCATATTTACTGGCAGAGTGTTTGGGGGGGGTAGATCACTAGATATGCTCTCAAATGGAGGAGCGAGGGATGAGATAGACAGAAGGGAGTGGAAAAATATCCCGCTGCTGCATGATTTTAAGTTTTTTGCAAGTCCTATGAGCCTAAAGTAAAGTTAATTAACCAGTGCTAAATTTACAGAGTTTACACAGTTGACACGAAGCTACAAGAGAGGAATGAAAATGACATTTCTGCGATGAAAATGTCATTCAGACTCAATGTGTGAACTCAAATGAAAAGTCACCGTAACTCACCCTGCTAGATGAATTCATATCCCATGACTTCAGAAATTGGCCACATTCACCTTGTTTGTTCTCTTCTCTGTCTCTCTTAATGGGTTTCTTGTAACACTGCGTCAGCGAGTCATTACGGCCCCTGGCTAGGACATCAGGGTTAATGATCATTAGTTGGAGATACACCCTCCTGGTCAGGGGATATTTTAAAACAAATCCAAAACATTTTCTCCATAATCAAAACCAAAAAGTTCTGTTACTGAATTTACTTTGCTTTAAATATTAATCCCATATAAGATCTGTTAATTTAAATTTCCATTATTAATGCTTATGCTGCCCACCTGTACACTCTTGACAAGAATGATCAAAATATTAAACAACATTGTTGACCCAAATGACCTTTTAGTAATGAAAAGGCAAGAAATTAAATGTTTAGTCAATCGTTACTTTATTAAAATCATCTTTTCAGTTTATGGTCCATTTTTACAGTGCATCTAAATGGCTAAAGAGAGACAGAGAGAGAAACAGAGAGAGAGAAACAGAGAGAGAGAGAGAGAGATAGCACAAGGTAAGAGAGCAGGAAGCCTTGACTGATAAAAGCAGCCCAGAGGAGAGATGTTGATACCCTCCCTAACCTGGACACTACAGCAGATAAGTGAACACCACCCTTACACTCTCAGATAACAGCAGGGAGGGTAAAGACAGCCAAAAACACCAGCTGCATATGTAACATCCACAACAGCTTTAAACACTTATAGGGTTTGACCAGACAAATGCAATAATAGAACTGAGATTACTAGCACACTGTCATTAGCCACCAAAACATAACACTTAGCACAATTAAACAAAACCAGTAATCATCCATAAGCATAATCAGCAACAAGGAAGTTTTAAAAATTCTAAAAAATGATCCTAAATACATATTTGAGAAAATACATAACTAGCTAGTGTTCAAAACTATCTGCTTGCCGTAGCTCGATTCAAAGCGGTAAGCTTGTAATAACGTTTTTAATTGGAACTGGAGGATTTCCACTGGAGATTCAAGCATGTCTTTGCGTCATTACGTCACATCTGTCCACAAAGAGCATCACAGTCCTGCCCACAGCCAGAGAGAGCTTTGGTGCTGGAAGTAAATTTCCCATTCATTTCTCCCACTGACGTTTTGGAAAATCCGTCTCTAAAGAGTTTTAGAGCATGTCTAAGGATAACCAGCTACGGTTGAACTCATAAGCATACAACATATCATTTCGAGTGAAAAAACAAAGAGAAAATCCCAAAAAAGTCAAGTTACAAGACTGTGTGTGTGCATATTTTCATTTCTGAGCGAAAGAACTACTCATCCCATAAACCACCACGCCTCACTGAAGTAAACTGAAGCCACAAACACGAAAGAGCCTTTTGAGTGACTTCCAAATCTAACGAAGGCCACGTGAACTTTTTCCTCCAGTGAATCTTATTTAGTGAATGTGGAGGGAAACTCCTTTTCCTCGATTTACTGAAGCTTGTGTAAAAGGCATACAGCTACACAGATAACACAATGAGCATCTGGCCTTACCTGTCCAACAAAATAGAAGCAGTTTGGGAGTCAAGTTTTTTTTCCCCTCTCAATAGCTCTGTCTTCAGAGATTTTCTGTTTGATTTTTCATATCAACAGAAAAATATACCTGGATAACCTTCTCCTGAGACTCCCCAACTTTGCAGCATAGTAATGATATGCTAAAGTCCGGCCACATGTTGACAGTTTTGGTTACAACCTAAAAAGACCAACCTAAAAAAGTTTAACATCACATCTGGCGACTGGGAGAATCTAGCATTTAACAGGTCATATTGGAGAAAGGCAGTGCTTGAAGGTGCAGCACACCAAGAAACAGAACTTCGCTGCGCCGCAGATGCAAAGCGGAAGCACCGCAAGGACAAACAGAGAAAGGCTCAACCACAACACAACACCTCAACCTTTCAATGCCAACACTGCTGTAGAATCTGTGGATCAAGGATTGGCCTCTACAGCCACCTGAGGATCCACAAATAAGGTGACTCAACGGAGAGGACAGTCATACTCGTCTCGAGTGACCGCCGAAGAAGAAGAAGAAGAATGATATGCTAAAGTCCGGCCACATGTTGACAGTTTTGGTTACAAGATATTTGTGAAGTCAGAAACACCAGCGATTTCAAACCATCTTTTTTTTCAATACAGCTTTATGGAGAAAATACTCAGCATTGGTGTTGAATGATGAATTTGCATATTAATATATGGTTAGTCTTAAAGCGTATTAAAAACACCACATAGACATAAACAACATTAAAAGCTTGATTTTCACCACAGGGGGTCTTTTAGATTGAGCAGTCTGAGGAGGTTGACGAGATACAAACATTTCACCTGAAACAGAGCCTGAACACATTGATATGGATAAAATAGTCCCACTCATTAACCTCTGTGATCTTGTTTTGGTTTGGTAAGTCAGTGGTCCTTTGCTGTTGTGTGTGGTGCATCAGGATGCATTAGCATTTGCACTATACCAATAAGATGTGGTGACATCTATTTCTGACTACTTTCAAATGTAGTTTGAATACAGCTACTAGCACCGAGCTCTTGTGATCATATAACCCTATGAAGTTTAATACCAGGTATAAATGAGATATCAAAGCTCACTTACTCTCTGCTCCTGGGTAGCCACGAAGGTCTGAAATCCTGGAGCGACTCCAAAGCCCAGCTCATGTACGAAGGGCGGCTCTGCCTGACTGTGGATCTGCACCCTCACCCCTGCCTCAAAGGCTGTCTCTTCTAACATACAGAAATAGAGAGAAATTAAAAGGTTAGTTATGATTCAACAGAGTACAATGGAGTTAAGCAAAAGTATTGTTGAAGGAAAACATTTGCATCTTTAATGCTTTGAAAAGTTGCCTAGACAACCTAAGCTGATTAACGGTCATATTAACAAGTTTGGCACATACATATTTGTTTGTAGCCTACCATTGTTGTAATACAGATTATTTTAAAATGAACATGCTCACTGTTAGAAATTTCCATAACACACACACAAACATCTCCAAATCAGGGTTTTACACACAATGTCACTTCTACAGCCACCAATTACTCTAAAGATGTGTTACTTTAAAGGTGTCACATGATCCTTCAGAAATCATATTAACATGCTGATTTTCTGCTCAAGAAAAATTTCTTATTATTATCAATGGGATTAATAGAAAGTTCAAAAGAACAGCATTTATTTGAATTAGAAACCTTTTGCAACATTGTTAATGTTTTTCCGGACAGTAGTCTATTATTTTTGTGTGCTGTATTGTGTGGTTGGTTCAAAATGTAATACTTTAAGCTGCAGACCAGCGTTTTTCCTCTTTGTCGCCATCTCTGTTCGAAATCTGCAATTGCAGTCATTCGCAGAATTATCAACTTTACGTGAGTTGTACTTCAACACCCTCGACACGGGACAGTGTGGATGAACACAATGTTTGAGGAGACTGTGAGGCTGTCAGTCACCGTGCCGGTGTGGATCATAGACATAATAAATACATAGACACCCCCCTTGACAACAATTATTTTAACTTATTATATTGTATTGTCTATAATTGATATGTCTTATTCCATTGCTATTATTATAGTATTATACATAAACTATTACGCTATTAACAATATTTGTATTATTATATTATGTACTTATGCTATTACATAATTATACTATTCATTCCTATTTTATTTACCGTATACTGTTAGCCTGGGTTTCCCCATTCGCCTACGATTTTATTCGCGCTGTTAGGCAGTCTGGATACCATAAACCAAATTTTCCCCTGATTTAGAGAACCAATCACAGAACGGGGAGGGAGCACAGGCGCATTTGATAGACCTTCGTAGCACCCAATAATACGGCTCTGGGCGTTCTCAATGATACGTGGTCTGGCGTTAGCCAGGCTAGTATACTGTATGTTTATTTTATTGAATCAAAGTCTAGTCTAACTATCGAGATTTTAAATAACTTAGAGATGGAACTTTTTGTACACCACGTACAAACCACTGATATCGGTTGATTATTATTATTATTATTATTTTTTTTTTTAGAAAAAAAAAAAACGCAGCTCACCATATACTTGCAGTTGATTAGCACAGTCTTGCCCTTCGCAAAAAAGTGGATGCGTTTATGTATCGCAGCAACATTCCATAGCAGCCAATAGGGCATCTATGCAGTCTATGAAGACATTTGCATCTTCAATGCTTTGAAAAGTTGCCTAGACTACCTTAGCTGATCCTGGATACTGGCTACTGGCATTCAGAATCACAGATTATTCTTTTTGGAAGTATGACCAACATAAGAATTTTCACCGGAAAATGTCATCTGATTAAGTAAGAAAAAAACACTTTTATCCTGGTTCTGACATTGACCCGATGTGAGACATGACCACATCTACCTTTGCATGGTCTTTACCATATTTTGGATATTCTCTTTTCTAAAACAAAGGTTCTTTATTTATCTCTGGCTCCATGAATAACATTTAACATGCATGGAACCTTTCAATTCCAGAAAAGGTTCTTAATAATTGAAAAATGTTCTTTACACTAAGAAAAAGAAAATGTTATATTAAAAATACCCATTCACTGAAAGCTTCTTTGGAGAACTAAAAATGGTATGGCTGAAAAAAACCTTTTGAAACCTTTATTTTTAGAGTGTAAATGTGAAAAAGGACCATTAACCTCAATTCAACACTACAACACAATCTCATGTCTAATCTCTAATCTAATCTCTAAGCTAGACTTAGATTTTGGTGGGCTTAATAGGTACACTTAACCCAGAGACGGTATTCTAGGTTATGTGGGGACATTTTTTGTCCAATAATTAAGCGCTAGTAGGAAAATACTAGTCATCCAGTTTTTTTTTTATATCAGCTATGCATTCGGTTAATTTTGTGAATGGCAAATTTTGTGAAACTTTTTGTGAAAGTTTTGTCAGGGCGTGAAGAAATATAGAACTGAGCACCATCATCATAACAGCATAAGCACAACAGCAGTACAGCAGCAGAACAGTGCTTCCTATTGATATCTCTCAAGGGTAGCATGTACAACAGTGAACAGCAATGGTCCTACTATTGAGCTTTGTAGTACTCCATTTCTGTGATCATTTTACTATTATCCTATGGTGTAAAATACCGCAAACACAATAAAATTATCAGAAAAGTATTTATTTAGTATACTGTAATCCAAATCTTCAGGATAATCTGTAGCAATACTAAGAACTATTCAGGCCCAGCGCAGGGCTGGGTCATTAATTGGCTGAGAATCGAGCCAGTTATAGCCAATTTGTGGTTCTAGTCTTAATCAGATCTTGGCCACTACAGGGCCGTCAGGTACTGTTGGCTGAGGGAAAAGGGGTTTTGTGGAACCGAGCTGGGTACGATACATTTTCCTATGTGGGAAAGTGCATTTATATGGTCACAAGCATGATTTGGGCCAGATAATCAATGGACTGATCTAGGCCACACTCCTTCCACCAACATTCGGCCCTCATGCGTTTTGCCCTGCACCATGCTGTGCCATCATTGCCACACATGGCCCAGCTCTGGCTGGCAGGATGCCAATGCCAACAGGAGGCCAGCACTGCCAGACTGAGGCCAAGGACGGCTTGCTATGTGGGCTGCTGCTACTGCAGAAATAAATATATCTGACCAAACAATTGTTGGTTAAAAATTACTATTGACTTACGTTTGGGCTTCTCAGCTCAATAATTAAGCAAGCTGGTTTAATTAAAGTTTAGAGACGGTATAGAAATCACTCAAATATTTGCCATGTGAAATGATATAATTTTACAGATTGAGGCTGTTGATTCCAGACTTAGTGATCATCCGCCAAAACCTGCTGGCGTTTCCACAGCTACAAAGTGGAAAAACAACACATGCTGAGCAGAATGCATAAATATCCGGCTTTGATCAGGAACTTAGATGAGAGTGCAGGCATGAAGGACAGAAAGAGAGTATGAAGAGAGATTTTAGGGGTCTGTTCTAAGACTAACTATATATTACATACTGTAGAACAAAGACATTTGCCTTTGTTCACACACACAAACACACATGCACGCACACAGTTGAGCAAAGTTCAGAATTTTGAATGGGTTCCTTTTCAGTTCATGAGTTTGAGTCACACAAGATGTTAAATTTGGAATTGGAAGAAATTCTGCACAAACAGGTAACACTTTACTTAAAGGGATAGTACATTAAAAATCAAACCAAACAGTGGACAGACGCCACTGACTTTTATAGTACGAAAAAAAACAAAAAAAACTATAGAAGTCAGTGGGGTCCATCAATTGTTTGCTTACTGACATTCTTCTAAATATCTTATTTTGTGTTCAGCAGAAGAAAGAAACTCATACATGTTTGGAACAACTTGGGTGAGTAGATGATGTCAGAATTTTCATTTCACTATCCCTTTAAAGCCTTTATATAAAACTTTACTAGGTCTATGTGTAAGGTAGGCCTATACGTAAATAATGTAAATTATAATGCATTATATCTTTTAATAAATAATGTTAATCAAATTAAAAATTTAAATGTTACTATATTTGCAGATTCCTTGTTACTGTAACATGTAAAGTTCAAAGTTCAAGCAATCCAGAAGATCAAGTTGGAAGACATTCAAACTGACTTTTAATGAACACAGAGGGAAACCAAGTACTACACTCTCTAAAACAACATTAACACAAGACAAGGAACTGAAGAAAACCAAGGGGAATAATCAACAGAACATTACAAGGCTTAATTAATATATTAAATACTTAATACTTGAGTGTGAGCAGGTCAGCTGTCTGTATAAAAAAAAAAAATTGATTTTAATTATGGGCACCTTTCAAGACACTCAAGGAGACCTTACACGGATAAAATACATAGTTATACAAAAGAAGACAGCAATACAAAAAAATAGTACGATCAACAATATAAAATGGTTTATTTCAAGCAGTGTTTTGGGAACAGACAGGGTTTTTGCTTGAATACTTCTCTATTTAACACAATTATGTAAAGGAAAAAACAATATAAGGTTAAAAAATATGATTTATTGATTTATATGATTATAACTTTGTAATTTCTTTTGCTCCCTTTGCTGAGAGTAAAACACAATTTTTGAATCAGTCACCCATAAAATGTTTAACGGGGTCATGAACTGGCTTTTTAAATTTTATTATATTGTTGTCTGAGGTCAACTTATGACGTTCGCTTGGTTTTTGCATTCAAAAACATCAAAATGAGTAAGTAATAGGCTACTTTGTACCCAAGTTGTAAGCCTTCCTGAAAAACACTCGGTTTTTATGGGCGTCTCGCACTGAAGACTTGGAAGTAAATGCCCACTGCTGTGAGTGGAGAACAGTTTTGCATATTATAATGAGTTTCAAATCACTCATCGATGCACGTGTGGGGAATCATTTTGAAAACGTCCAATGTTGTTAAATGGCGACCGGAATGATTCGATCCAGAGTCCGTGTGTTGCACAATTCCCGTCAGGTCGAATATAGACGGCACAGCACTGTTTTTACTCTTAATCGATCTGCAAATCCAGTCTTGTTAACAAAACAATCCTCAGTGAAATGAAGGGAACAGACGGACGATGTTTTACCTCATCAGCTGGAACGTCATTAAAAAGTTTATCCATGCAGTCTTATTGGAATCCAGAGGAAGCTTATGCAGCGATTATCTTCCATAACCAGGCACTGCACAATATTGTGTATTGCTCGGTAGCTCGATCCGGCTTGTCATCACGAGGTAGGCATCTATGTTATTTAGCTATGCGTGTACTGCACAAATCAATGGGCGGGGCTAAACCGGCCGTGTTGAAGTAGGCGTTGATCTTCTTCTGCGGGGGTGGGGTTTTATCCTCTTTGTCGTCATAGTTCCCCACTTTGAAAAATGAGTCGTTCGCTGAGGCTGGTGTCAATAAAAGTTTTTATTGGAGTAACAAGGACATTTTCAGTTCTGAAACTTACAGGATATACTTACAATATGATGACATCTTAGATGTCAAAAGCTCAAGTAAAATCTCTCACTTCATCACCCCTTTAAAAGCATCAAAAGAATTGTCCCGTTTCAAATGTTCTGTACATAAATTTGTTAAAATCAAGTAAAAAGAGCTTGTGCACACTGCGAAAAAAAAAATGTTTTATATAGAAGCATAATCATAAGTAGTTTGTTCAATAGGGATTTTGAGAAGAGGTCTTTTAAATGGACAGTTAATTGGCTTCAACAACTTTTGTACACGTACCACATGAAAGTCAAACTGGTTTGTAATGAGTGAATGGTGATACTGTTTTTGGAGTTATATAATCATCCTCTGGTGAGATATCTATTTATTGCAGTTAAGTTCATCCAAGGCTGTTTGGCTGTAAGTCAGTTGTAGTTGCCGTGTTTCTGCGCGTCTCTTCTCTTTTTTACGTTATTAAACAGTTTATGTTTATTAAAATTAACTTGGAATATTTTCTTGGTCTTATATGACAACGAACACACACACTAAGAAATGTGACATGCTACACATACAGATAAGCAAGTTTTGTTGTCGTCTTCTTGATGGGATTATAGCAGCACCCAAAAGACATATGCAGCATCCCAAGCTGGTCCCAGAATGCAAAACATACCTTATCCAGGTCCAGTCCACTAGCAACCAGCATGGCATACTGCGATCAGGCAAACCAGCAACCAGCATCCCATGCTGGTCCCAGAGTACAAACATACATTGTGCTGGTGACCAGTAATGATTTTAACAGGGTTTGCATATTTATTCCTTGATATATAGAAAACATGTTTTCTCAACTAATCTAGTATTCTGTGACATTAAGTGCTGTCCGACCATAGTTGATAATATTGAGGCTAATTTGTTAAATTTAAGAAATACTGTATATCAAAGTCATGCCAAATTTCTGTAGGTGACATTTTAAGCATTGACTATTATTATTATATTGAAACCTACAATTAGAGCAGATATAGGAAGTTCTTCAAATTGAATTAAACTCACATTGAAACATACGGATACATCCTGTGCACTACAGATTGAATTCGCATTGACAAATCCCTTCTTAACGGTGCACAAACCTCTTAACGGAAGAAAACCAGTAACACACACACAAACACACACAAAACCAATCCCTGCCTAAAAAAGTAAATGAAAAGAGATAGCATTCACATAAAAGAAAGAAACTGCATTGAGACAAACATGAAAAGGTCTTTTGATTAAGCTGGAACATGTCAAGGCACTGTGCTTTCTGATTCAAAGGCATCATCTCAGAAAAACAGAGCATCCAAAGATGTGCAGTGATTAAACCATTTTAAACCATGGTCTGTCTGAGTACCATATATGTACACATGCAATGTCTCTCTCTTTCTCCCAGTTCATTGAAAATGTAATCTTACAGCACTTTTTTTAAATTCCGAATTCTAGATCTAACAATCATTAGATAAAATAATAAAAAAAAAGCAGTCATAACAACTGATTTTGGTGGATGTGATGTGCTACTGAGGCTGAGCAAATGCAGTCATTTGTTCAGCTTAGTCAAAAACCATGGAAAGGCTGCTCGCAGGCAAGGGCATGATATATATGGCTACATGGATTTGGAAGTACTTCTGATTGACGACAGCGACATGGAAAGAAATCAGTGTCGGTTAGAGTGTGTATTTAAGCAAATTACAGTTACTGTAATTTTTTATCCATTCAGTCAAAGTTTATGATGGAAACATCAATGACAACTTGTCCAAATTGGCACCATGTTCTATTAGCGAGATAATCTACGGCTATACATTACATGTTTACGTCAGGTAGTTCTTTGACTCCATGTTGTGCATTAAAATCTTTTAATTCAAACCTAGTTGTGGAGTATCCGTTACATATAGTATGATCTCGTTACATATAGGAGTTACAAAGTATTCTGAATTCAAGATTACTATAAGGAGAGATAAGTAATTTTGTTCAATATGAAGGCACTTATTTTGAAAAAAAAAAGACACAAACATGAGGAGGGAGGAGAAGTGAAATCGTGAGCTTAGAATTATAAGGTTCTATCTCCACTTTTGGTCAAAATTGAGTTTTTGACATAATCTGATCCATTAGGTGTTTATTAATGCCTGTGTGGTGTTATTTTTGTAAAAAAAAGATTAATAGATAAAGCTATAATAGAAGATTATACTATATAACAGTTTTGCCACCTGGGATGTAAAAACTTTGATGCTCAATATCTCGGAACTAACCGAAACGGAGATAGAACCTTATAATTCTAAGCTCACGAAATGAGAGAATAAATGCAAAATGTAACAAAAAAGCAAAGTAGCAATATTGTGACTGGATTTATGGTACTGCTGAGTTTCACCACTGCATCCAGAAAACAATAAACACATAAATATTCCAGTTCAACCACACAGAATCTTGCTCTACATAATATACGGTTTATCTCCATGTTTCTTCTTTCAAAGTGCATAAGTTCTTCATCACTCTGCATTCATCAGAGTTGTAAAACCGGCAGACAGAATGACAGATTGGCTGCACATTTATTCATTGAGGTTCAGGGATCTCTCTCCATGTTTTAAATTTGAAAAAGATGATGGCAAGTTTATCACTGGCTCTCTCTCTCTGCTCCAGATGTGTCATCTTTTTTTTTGTGCACCGTGCCATTTATAATATTATATATGCAAGCGCACACTTCCTCTTCACCATTTCCAATTTCTCCATCTCTATCCCCATGGGCATCAGAAATCTTTGGAGTGTTATAGGAGGAATGGATGTAGACAGACTTGCTGATCATGAAAATGCAGAAAGTAAACAATACAGCAGGTAATCGTCTACCTTTCCTTCTATCTCAGGAGGAATCCCAGCTACTGAACAGAATTCCTCAAATACCCTCTTATGCAGTGGCTCTCCTTTGAAAGTAGATTTTTTTCCATCCATCCATCATGCGCTTTTTGCAAAATACAATTGCGATAAACACTGGATGGAAATACCAAGATAAACATGAATTCTAAAAAAAGCGCATAAAAAAACGTGTGCAATTAATTGAGCAGGATTTTTTTTTCCAATAAGAAACATACAAATTAACTACGATCAAAAAAATGATGACCAAAAACAGTCATTTTACTGTGCACTGGGATGGCATAGCTTAGCCAATCTTGTTGCAAAGCATCTGAAATGCGGTTTTGGTCTGTCGTCAAAGTGGTTCGGTATAATTACCTACACGACTGCATTCCAAAACAGCAAGCATCCGAAGGCAAGACAACATGATCACGTTTATTGCATTTTGTCTACGTGCTCTGAGCTGCAAGTAATTGATTATATACGGAAATTATGGCTTCTCCAACTGCAGCAACTTCCATTTTTCTTATTGATATTTATCACCAGTTTATCAGGAAGTGATGATTTTGTTCTCTTCGGCTCACTAGATGGAAACTGTGTTTTATTCCAGCCCGTTCTCATCATTTATAGCGTCATATGTGACACTATATGACAAAACGGCGAAATACTACGCATATGGCACCCTTTATCGTTAATATAAAACGCAAACCCAAGGCATCATAAATCCTTTAGCGTAATATGAGACTACCCTACCCTACCCCACACCTAAACCTACCCATCACAGCACGTGTTATATTAACGATAACGGGTGTCATGTGCGTAGTATTTGGTCGTTTTGTCATATAGCGTCACATATGACGCTAAAGAATGAGAATGCGTTGTTTATTCGCAAATGTTTTATGACCTTAAGTTAAATTTGCAACTTTAGAGGGAAATGACTCATGAGAATAAGAGCAGTGCGGTGAGCACAATAGACACCATACAAGGAAACTGTGATACATCATCAATGTGGAAAATTGAAATGAGAGGATGAGATCGAGAAAATCCGAAATCTCCCCAAGGGACCCTAATAGCTGATATGACAACAGACGAGATGGACCTGGGGCCATAAAATAAGCCATAGATCAGAACTACAGAATAAAGAAATTTTAGAAGATATATCTGGTTATTGCCCATATCCTTCGCAGGATAAAGCTGTGGTACAGATCATGCAACTGCTTTAAAGGGCACACTTCCAAAACAGCTGATGAAATGAATATTATTCCTTTTGTTCATTGTTGGAAAAGGAATGTTGATATTTCTCGGAATAAATTTGAATTCAGCCTCAGCTAAACTTGTAACCTTTCAAATGCTAATTAATCTTTTGCTGGGAATTCACGCTGCTCCTCTGTAAATCCTGAATGCTTTCATCTTCTTTGAAATATTGCACACACTACAAGGGAAGCTTTGCTTTGCTTGGGTGTCACAATGCTAATCAAAAAAGTGAAGTGTTTGTGTACTACTGTTCAGAGAAGTGTGGCCACATCAGATCAGTTCAGCAGGTTGCAAGAACATCTATTTGAAAATGAATCCCACTGGATTTGTCTGCACCATTACAGCATCACAGCTGTTCTTCAAGGTGCAAATATTCACTGTATCCCTGGGGATGGAATCACACTGAAAGTGCTAACAAAACCTTGCCCTAATTAGACACCTGTAAGATAATCAGTTTCTCCTGCAAATGAGGAGATATGTTTAACTAGGGAGAGCTCTGGGAAAGCTCATGGCGTGATCAGGGCTGACTGTGTTGTGTGTTTGTGTATGTACCTGTTTCTCCCCACACAGGCAGGTATTCATCTTGCTGGATGTCCAACATGATTTCCAGGCCATTGCCTGTGCCTCCTTTCATTGTAGTCCTTAATGTCTTCCCCTCTTCGGCAGCGTTGAACATGTAACATTTCCCATAACGCGTAAACACCTGGAAAGAGCGAGAGTGAGAAAGAAAGTTGACTTCATTGATTTTCTTTGTATTCATTCATTCGTATCATGTCAACTGATATTGACAACAATAAGTACTTTTACAAGTCTATAAACACGTTGAAATGCAAAAGCTTGGCAGGCAAACTGGCCGGACAGTTTAAGCTTTAATGTGAAGCTTGCATATTTTTCAAACATGAATAATTTAGTATCAAAAATATGCATTTATTGAGCTGTAAAGTTGTCTGAATCATCCTCCTGAGATGGGAATACTCTCTAGATAGACAGACTTATTGTAATTCCCGTGGGTGGAGTTTGCAGAAATTATGCAGTAGCTCCACATAAACAGTGGTTTACATTTCACATTCAGTATTTACATCGTGTCCCTCATGTGCCCTCCTGGTATTCCTCATGCACATACCAATTGCTGCTCTTATCAATGCTAGACTGCATGGATGCACAGGGAGTTCTCACTTGAGTATAGGGGGGGGGATCTGCTCCATTGAAAGTATTTTACCCACACAAAGCTGTCATGTGGCTTCAAAAGACTTGGAAAATTTTGTGCCCAAGTCATGTGGACTACTTTTATACTGCTTTAATGCAAGCTGGAAGCTTGAAAGCTTTAGTCCCCATGCATTGTAACAGCGCAGAAAAGAGCGTCCAGTACATTATCCTTTGTATTCCGCAGAAGAAATTTGGAAGGACATTGTGAATGTTTAGTGAATGGACCACTCCTTTAACATCAATCATCTAAGCTATTTGTGAAATGGGCTTCCAGACTTGTATTTCTTGCCTTGTTTGTTTGAGGAACAGGATTAGAACTGTGCAGCATCTTTATCTTAAGATATGCATTTTTTTTGGAGAAAATACTACGAGTCTGCGAGAACAAGATAACATCTGATTCATTATCGAGGATGCAAAGTGAATCTCTCCGTCACCCTTCAGAGCCCTTCCACATTGAAGCCCTCGAGGAAAGAGCGATAGAACAACCTCAATGTTCCCCATTAAACTAACATGGAAGAGGGTTGGGTGCATTTGTATCCATTTGCCAATGAAGTTTTTTTTACACAGCGGACTGAGCAGAGACAAATATAGCCATTTCAGAGTAATGAGGTGAAAAGAGACCATGCACCACCTTTACAAAACCCAACACCTATATCCCTTTCTTTCAGCTTTTAGCCAAAATTTGAGACTAATTTGATAGCAAGCTGACGTGTATAATTAAGGTTAAAGATGGTGGTACTATCTCTCTATCAGAGCTGCAATCCAAGTGTTGAAAGTTTTTGGTCTTTCCTCAAATTTAAGCATGAAGCTGTTCGGGGAAAGCTGCTTTGAAACCGTGTCTTGCCCAAGACTTGTGTGGAGAACGCTGCCCACCTTTATCTAAGATCTGCAAAATAGCTGCTTCTGTAGCAGCTTGATGGATGGATGAATGATTGAGAAGGTTTCTTCTTACAGCATGTCTGTACACACACAGAGACATTCAAGATAAATCACCATAGCCTGCAGCTGCCAGACCACAGCCCACAAAATCGACACGCATATTCAGTCTCATCCTTTATGCCTGAGCTAGCGCTATAGCCGAGATCAACCTTCTAAGATAAAGAGAAAGAGAGAGAGTTAGGACTGAGGGAAATGAATGTTCAAGACGCTGTAGGCCACATAGTCCCCTCATTTGCTGCAATGATTGACAGCTTCAGTTATTTTTCTTGCTCTCTGTTTTAAATTCAATTTAACTGACAAGACAAACAGTAGCCAAGGATTTCCGCTTAAGATGCCTTGCGGCTTATTAAATGGGGATATAACACCAGCAACTCAAAAGCTGTATTTCCTCATACAAACCAAAAAAATCTCTTTGGAACCATACCATGCCTTTATGATTTAAACCATTCAGTTTTGACAATGAGCTACATTAATAATGAAATAATTTAATCCAAATAACTAAAACCACCGTAACTCAGGACGCAATTTGAAGGTGTCTATTGCAGTTTTACAAAATTACATTTTAGCAGGAGTTAGCGGAAGCTATAACAAGAACTTAGCATCATAAACTAAAAATCTTCACAGAATACAGAGATATACTGTACAAAGCACACGATTAGGGTTGGGTATCGGTTGGGTTTTATCCGATACCAGTACCTACTCGGTATTTTTTAAACGGTTCCGATGCCTAAACGGTTCTTGAAACGGTCCTTAAGAAAACGAAACCGGACACACTTTGTCAAAAAATAATAATACCCCTTTATTTACAGGGCCAAACTGGACACAATATTAACTTACAATATAAATACAAGTAACATATGATAATAATAAATGAACCAATATAAAATAAAAGTTCATATTTACATAATATCAAATAAAACAATATTATATTAAACAATGTAATTATACTGGAGATTAATAGAGATTACTACCAGGGTAATCTAATATCAACATGGCTACAGGTTCCCATGTTTTGTCTGCTTTAACTAGTAATGTAGGCTAAGTTATCTTGTCATTTACTAGTTAAGCTCTTGGCCAGTTTGATATTTCGTTCCCATTGCGTCTTATACGCAGCTTTGAGTAAACAAATGAAAGAGAACGTCTCTGTGTAACCCATGTTCTCTGAGTAGGGAACGAGACGCTGCGTTCGCTGTTAAATATCTCGCACTGCCGACAAGCTTCCTTTTTCGGCAGAGAAATCTGAGGAGCAGATGATGCGCGCGCTAATATAATATGACGACCTGAGCATCAATGCGGCGCGAATTCTGACGCGTAATTTTACACGTGAAATGTGTGTTTCACATGTGTTCAATCTAGGGCTGGGTATTGAGACAAATTTCACAATTCGATTCGATTTCGATTCACAAGCTTTCAATTCGATTCGATTTCGATTACGATTCGATTTGATTCAATATCGATTATTTTGGATATCAGTTACAATAAATGGCAATTTTTCTCAAGGGAATTAAATCTCTTAACTAATGCTGTAAACTGTGGGAGACTTGTTGTAGCCTACTAGGCTTCATTAGCCTAATAGGAAGGTAATAATGAATGGATCACTTAAATTACACTTTTATTTATTTTTATAATAAGAAGATTATATGAAATATAAACATTTAAATGGTGGCTGTCATAAAAACTTGCCAGATTTAGTCAAATATGAAGGTAATAATGAATGAATCACTTAAATTACACTTTTATTTATTTTTATAATAAGAATATTATATGAAATATAAACATTTAAATGGTGGCTGTCATAAAAACTTGCCAGATTTATTAAAATATGCATTAAATATTGAAGAACTTTAAGATTATAATGCATATGTAATATAGTGTATATATTTAGCAAAATGCTCCTCTCTGGAGTTATTTTTTTCTATCTGACTAACGAGTTGATGTGGGTCTTCTGAGGTAAATATGACGATACATGACAAGACATTGATTACAAGCTGTTTAACTGACGTCTTTCCACGGTTGAAACGCTGATTGAGCGAATGAATGTGACATGATACGGATTTCGATAAGTTGTACTCTATCTTTTATCACACTTTCAGATGCTCATTCATGTTTATTTGGCGCTGTAACTGGTATTATTAACCCGGAAGAGAGATCAGCGCTGCTGCTTCTCTAGAGCTGCGCCAGAGCGATCTCACGCCACAGCGCCAAAACTCTATTTATGTTTTTGAATTTCTAAAGAAAATGAACGTAATTTGAAAATTGAGACTTTGTTTCATATCAATAGTAACAAAGGACAAAGATTATTGCGATTTTTTGAATGCGCGCAGCCGCGATACAATGTCCCATTCTTAAAATGAAACAGGATGACTAATCGATTCTTGAGACTTAAGAATCGATATCGGTTCGTAAAAATGAGAATCGATTAATATCGAGAAATCGATATTTATTACCCAGCCCTAGTTCAATCTCCTCGCTATCACCAGACGTTCGGGGAGTCTCCCACATATTGATAACGGCTCCTGGATGACCGCAAATTAGTTCAAATCTCCCGGAATCTATAGAGCGAGCGAGCAAGAGCGCTCGTGCAAGACAGATCAGACAGTGCTTCAATAAACCGTATAGTGCGCGCACGTCAGAGAGGGAGAGGGAGACAGCGATAGACTGCGTGTGTGCGCCTACTGCCACAGACTCAGGCATCGAAATCAGGCACTGAAATGTTCATTCTAATTCAGTCTGGTTATTACCGTTTACGTCACAACCAGTTCCATATTGGCACCGAGTTTCGGTACCCAACCCTACACACGATAAACATCACTCTTTAAAATAGTCAATAAGCCAGCTGTTGTTTGGAATAAAGGCGTACTGTCATTACCACTTAGCGACTAGCCTGTTACCATTCAGAATCATTGTAAACATGCCAATAGTCATTTGCTATTATTGACCAAGGATGCTTCTCCAAACTAACAGCAAACAGCAAAACATTTGTGAAGGCTTATGAGATAAGCACGCAAATTAAATACTTTCTTAATAGCCTTAAAAAAAAAACCTCGTCATTAAACTAGTTTAATGAAACTCAAAAAGGTTCCATTTTCACTTTCCAAAGAAAAGAAATCTTTCATTAGTCCACATTGCTACTTTCATGTCAAGATAAGACAACGTGTTACCTCGAGGTCAGCAGCAGGTTACTGTTATAACATAGGATATGTTATAAAACACAGGAATTCTCTTTCAATTAACTTGCGAGCTCAGAACCGTGTCACATTTGCGACAACTTCAGAAGTGGATATGTGAGATGTGAATGTTCATGCATAAGCGCATGCGTGAGGTAAATCAAGCTCATTAGCTGGATTGTGCGTTTCTGTGAATAAATAAAAAAATAACAATTCTCATTAAAGGTTCAAAGAAAGGAAGCGGTTTGAATGTTCTAGAACAAAATGGCACGACCTCGTTTGAGTGATGCCCATTGCATTTAATGACACAGACAGGGGCGTTGTTAGTGCAGCCGCTTGTGTGATATGCCTGTAGGCAAGAGAAGCTTGACTGTGGCAGGGCTCTTTTGTG